AGCCAATGAAAAGGGTAGCGGTCGTACGCCAATTACCATGTTTCTCTTTATTAGTGTAGATGTTTACTTTGAATTTATATTAGTTCACACAAACACTCCATCCATGCTTTTGTTCCAGCCCTCCGGTCCAATTTAAGAACCCATTGTGGCCCTCGAGTCAAAAAGTTTGCCCACCCCTGGGATAGATAGTCACCACACTGTACATTACATACCCAGGACTTGTTTATTTTATAACTGGAAATTTCTATCTTTTAGCCATGTTCACCCATTTTTTTAAGTTAAACATATCCTCACCCAAGGATGTGTTTTTATTGATTTTAAAGAGAGCGAAAGAAATACAGAGAGAGAGACATTGATCGATTGCCTCCTGTACACACCCAACTGGATCTAACCTGCACCCTGGGCATGTGCCCTGACTGAGATTTGAACCCGCAACCTTGCAGTGTATAGGTTGACACTCCAAGCAACTGAGCCACACCAGCCAGGCCACTTTCACCCATTTTTACCCACTCTTTACTCCTCACCTCTGGCAATCACCAATCTGTTCTCTAAATCTATGAATCCATTCTTTTTTCAGATTCCACATATAATGAGGTCCTGTGGTATTTGTCTTTCTCTGACTGATTTATTTCATTTAGCATAATGTCCTCAAGGTTCATCCATGTTGTTGCAAGTGGCAAGATTTCCTTTTTATGGGTGAATAATATTCCATTATAGAGATACATCACTGTATATACACCACACTTTCTTTATCCTCTCATCTATCAATGGACACCTAAGCTGTTTCCATGTTTTTGCTATTGTAAGTGATGCTGCAATGAACCTGGGGTGCATACATCTTTTCTAATTAGTGTTTTCATTTCCTTTGGATAAATACCCCAGAAATGGAATTGCTGGATCATATGGTAGTTCCATTTTTAATTTTTTGTGGAACCTCCGTACTGTTTTCCATTGTGGCTGCACCAATCTGCGTTCCCACCAATAGTGCACAGGGGTTCCCTTTTCTCCACACCCTCTTTGGCATTTGTTATTTCTTTTTTTATATATTCTTTTATTGATTTCAGAGAGGAAGGGAGAGAGACATAGAAACATGATGAGAATCATTGATCGGCTGCCTCAAACACACCCACTACTGGGGATCGAACCCTCAATGTGCCCTGACTGGGAATTGAATCATGACCTCCTGGTTCATAGGTTGACGCTCAACCACTGAGCTACACCAGCCAGGCTCTTGTCTTTTTTATAGCAGCCATTCAAATAGAAGTGAGGGGCTCTCTCATTGTGGTTTTGATTTGCATTTCCCTTATAATTAGTGATGCTGAACATCTTTTCAGGTACCTGTAGGTCATCTATACGTCTTCTCTGGAAAATGTCTATTTAGATTATTTGTTTACTTATTAATTGGATTGTTTGTTTTGCTATTGAGCTGTATAAGTTCGTTGTGTATTTTGAATGCTAACCTCTTATCAGTTATATGATTGACATTTCCTGTTTTTAAGCCAACTCACATATGTATACTAACCTCTTATGAGATATATGATTGACATTTCCTATTTTTAAGCCAGAAGTCTCTTTTAATGCCCGGGGTCTCCAATCTCCTCGCCATTTTTGTGCTCAAGCAGTCAGTCTTAGGTGACCACCTATTTTTCAAAATCTCAGGAAGATTCCGCAAATGCTGAGCCTCCACTGGCTGAGCAGGGACAGCTGTCTTTATGCCTCTGGCCAAACAGCCACCCAGAGCTCCCAAGCAACCTGTGTCTCCAGGGCCTGACGGGCGGAGGACAGAGGGCAGTGATGCGTGAGCATAAGAGATCAGGTTCCAGCACAGTCATATACTGGCTGAATGACCCAGGGCAAATCACTTTATGTTCCTTAGACCTCAATTCATCATCTGTAAAACAGAGATTAAAGAGAAAAAATATAGAGCCCAGTGCCAGGCCCAAACTCGATGTTGTTAAAGGAAAAGGGTTGTTGAAAGGATTCAATTAAATAATTTATGAAAAGGCCATTAGAGGATATAGCCTGAATGCCTGTCACATAATATCCTTGAATAATTGTTAGCTGTTATGATTATTTTCATTTCATTCCTTCTATTCTGGCCTGGTCTCTAGACATTCCCAAGTCCAGGAAACCTCCCTGACAATGACAGCCAAACCTGTACTACACAGGTCTCTCCACTGTCCTCCACACCTGGGCCATCCAATACGGTAGCCACTCGCTAAGTGTGACTATGTAAACTTAAATTGCATAAATAAAATTTTAATTTAGTTCTTCATTCACTCTAGCCACCTCTCAAGTGCTCAGTAGCCATACTTTGTGATGACCATGTTGAGCAGTACAAATATAGAATACTTCCCTCATCATAGAAAATTCTGCGGGGCAGCACCCTAGAGGCTGCGAATCGATTTCCCGCTCCGCACTGGGAGACGGTCTGTCTTCGCTAGTTTCAGTCCAAGCTATACTAGCCCAGACCTTGAAGACCCAGGCTAAATGCAGTTCAGAACAAGAGAGGGCACAACGCTGAGCCCAGCCACGGTGCAAGCTGGCGGTGTTGTTATGATGACTTACAAGAAAACCAACCACACGTGAGGACCTTAGGAGTTGGTGCTGTGTGTTACTAGTTCTTTGTATCACATCCATTGATCGCTGTGTTTTATTGTCAGTTTTTCTAGTTTAAACAAATCTATATTTTAAAACTAAAAAGGAGGAGGAGGAGCTGGCCCTGTAATTGATGTGGAAAGAAGCATGAGTTACCACCCCTACTGTTTTTTTCACATTCTTGCATATAAAAAAAACTACATTTGTTGACTATGAATGCCACTTGGTTTGTAATGGTTATCTGCTACTACCAAAACACATAATTGATTAATTTATCATATAGATTTGAATTTAAACTTGAAATGGACACAGTAATTATGGGTGATAATTACATCTAAATACTGTCATATTTGTACCTATCTGTTAACAGAGAAAATAATGCACTTATTGCCCTTACTAAATTATATGAATTAAAATTTTTATGCCATTGAATTATAGTATATGTGAAACATGATGGAGTTTTGATTATTTTATAGCCTGGGCATGAAGTAATTATACTATTGAACCTTCCAGAGAGCATGTCTCTGGAAGTGTAAAACATACAACAGGGCACATTAAGGTTATATAAGATTTTAAAAATGCACTTGTGATATGTCCACCAGAAAACATGTACTAGTATGAGACTGTTCATAACAGCTTTATGTTTAGTAGTTCAAAACTGAAACAATCCAAATGCCTGTTAAGGAGAATAGATAAATTAATTGCTGTATGTTCACATAAGAAAAACCACAGAAACAAACACCAACATGGATGGATGACTGTCTCACGCAGTGTGTTGAGTGAAAGAAGCAAACACAAAGGCAAATATTTACTTCATTTATTGGGAGTTTAGACTACTTGACGGTGATAACAGTCAGAATGGTGGTTAACTTGACAGAAGGGGCAGGAGGAAACTTTCTAAGGTAATGAAAATATTTAGTATCTTGATCTGGATGGTAGGTACATGGGTGTTCATACATACAAAATTCACCAAGCTATACCCTTAAGATGGGTGTTCTTTATATACTTTATGCATGCAGTACTACAATAAAAAAGAAAAAAATGTGAAAACATATGGT